TTTGTCACACAGCACACTGTGTGCATTATTTCCATTTTTATCTAAACCAAGTTAGGCCATCAAGGGCAGTGAGAGTCCATCAGATAAATATGACAAAGAACAAGATAGCAATTGGAATATAAAAGTGTATGAATCATTGCAGACCAAGCAGTTCTTTGCAATGTTGATTTCAGACTCAATCATTTTGTATTGACAAAAAATGTTTGATAAATTATGCAGCTCTCGTTAAATTTGCATGCTTGCATGTTTTACATTTATTTTAAAATAATGCGTGATTAGATCTTTAGAAATGTAAAACTGCAGAGCATATCAAAAATCTACTTGGGGTGTAAACAATAAAGCAAACTTCACAACCAAACTGCAGTTTGAATCAACTTTTTTAGGAGTTGTGCAACTCTGCTGATTCTAACAGCACAAAGTTTCACATTTTACCTGCATCCTGACAAATGTGTAAATAATTAATGACTTTAAAGCCATTATCTGGACCTCTGGGTTGTAAATATCTTTACTTCTGTTTTTCAGAGTTTCTTTCTTGTTAAAAGAAAAACTCATGAGATGTCCTAAGCATCCTTTACCCATTACTTCCTCCTCGTTAGATGCAGTAGAAGTGAAGATGTACGGCATAGCAAACATCTGGGCTGCTTCTGTCAGCAGTATTTTTTTGTATTTTTGTACTTTCATTCCCCAGCTGCCAATTAAACTCTGTTAGAAGAATTGAGAAGATGAGATTTTGGGTGTTAAACCCCAAAAGGTGAACTTTAGGTGACAGCACCTACTTGTCTGAGTCCTTGTCTTTCATTTTTTATCTACTTTTCTCCCCCCTCAGCTGGCAGCAGTCATTTTGTTGAGGTTCTGTCATGCTACTGAGACCCTAAAACCCACTCTTGTCTCCTGCCATCAGACTGACATGAATGCTCTGAGCACTCTATCTAGACAAAATAAATCACCGAGTGATCTGGGACTTTTAAAGCCTTAGGTATCTCAGTCACTTTTTCTTTTCCTCTCAATACTTGTGTTGTGAGCTTTGCAGAGGTAAACAATGGAAACATCTGAAGCTGTTTCAAATTCAGTGGCACAACTCCAGACTCGTGACGTCTAGATTGAACTTCTTGATGCTTAGTTCCAATGTTTTGATACTTTTCTCGTACTAAAAGTGACACAGAAAGGAAACGTGAAAATTTTGCAAACTTTTGTCTTCTTCTTAAATTCTATTTATTTATTTATTTATTTATTTATTTATTTATTTATTTATTTATTTATTTATTTATTTATTTATTTATTTATTTATTTATTTATTTTTGCTTTAGCATAATGAGTTTATGATGAATGAAAAATGAATGAATATATAAATAAATTAATCTCCTTGTTCTATAGTTAAAGGGGTGAGGTGGGGTGTATTATATGTTTTCCAGTAACAAACTTCAATTCCATAGTAATATTAAAATGCTGTAAATATAAAAGATGAATTTAACTTTATGTCATAGCTTATCTAAAAGCCCTGAAATTGGCCTGAGTCTCTTTAAGGGCCTCCTACCGTTTCTGACACTCCCAATTCAGCACGTCTTCACAACATGTTGCTGTTTACAACCTTTCATAAGAGCATTGTATTGTGTTGTGTTGTAAAAATAAAAGCAACATTRTACAGTCTGATAGTTTTGGAAAATGGCAACTTTGGATACAACTCAACCTTACTCAAACGATCTCATAAATGATTTCCAAAAATGAAGTGCGCTTTTGATGATCTATGAATCGTAACAAGAGGGCAGTCCCCTTGGCATCCAAAAATATGCTTCCTTGACAAAATAATGTTTTAATCCGAAATGAATGGGACTGAGAAGTTGTTCATATAACAGGCTCATCAGATGTGCAGTTCCACCAGGTGTTGTTGCAGCTACTTGTCTGGTTCATGTCTGTGTGAGGGAGGTGGGAAAGAAGGGTGCTCTGTGGGGCATGGCTGGGCACTGAACTCCTGGGAGGAGCTTTGGGTAAATATGTAACGCTTTGTAAGAGCAAACATTTAGACACCTACGAATGGCCACCGCAGACAATTTAAAGATTTCTTAAACATGCATGAATGAGTCAAAGCAACACTCTGGGAATGTGTTTGATGAGGGAATAACAACATAGCATGATTTAAAGCTCAAAATGTTGCATAATACCCCACCATAAACATATTCATGTTTGTTGCATGATGCTTCTTTGCCAGCGCTCTAGTTTAACAGTTGTACTGCTTCAGTGATTTAATAATGTTTCATTGTTTGCCTTTTTTAAACATGAAATTTTATAAGGCACATTTATGGTGATGAATTAGTTTTAAACATTGCTGCTATGACATTTAGATAGAAACTCATTTCCTGCCTCTGACTGAGTCACTAAGGCCTGTGGTTTCTGTTCTTGCAGATCCCATATGCTACCTTTAAATTTGTTTGAGTCCATTTGCCATAACTAGCTGTCTGGCTCATTTGAATCATTTACTTTAATTGCATTACTTTCCTCATTACTTTGCCAGTCATCATTCTCTCTGGTCTCCACCTCCTCCCTATCCCTTCTATCCTTCTTTTCCTCTCTCTCTTTTTCTTTTTTCTCATTGTAAATAGCCTGCTAGACATCTCAGATGTGCTGGTCATAATTATTTCTTCTGGCTGGCCAGTTTCTCAACCTCTGCCTTTCTTGATGTGTTCTGTTTTGCTTTTTCATCTTCAGCTGTGAAAGCGTATAATTCTCCCACTGTTGCTTGTTAGATTGAACACAGATACTGACACCGGTTCTGCACTGTCTTTAGTCACTGCSCTTACAGTCATTTTCTTCCCACCAGACCGGTTTCGTGATTGTATGTACAAGATTCATATTGCACGCTTCCCTGCCAGCTTGGCTCAAAAGTGGCTCGTCCTTCAGCTGTATGTCTCAACTTAACAGCTCAGAATCCACATATTTTGTCATCAAGCTGCCTTGAAATGCCTTTGCTCTTGTGTTCCTTTTAGTTATCAGCTAATATTTTTCTCTTTGTTTACCCCAATCCTGTCCCCTGGTTGTCACACACCGCCTTCTTCTCGTTCCCTTTTGCTTCTTTGCCATCTTGCTTGCTATAACTGGCTCTCCCTTGGAAAGAACTGACTGAGTTTTCATAAATAGGCCCAGGTTGGATCTGTGAAGCGCTACAGAGCCGGTTACTTGGGTCTTTGTAACACTACTGAACCTGAAATAAAGTGCCAAGTAACTGTTCTCTCATATTTTTTTTCCTATCTACTTCCCATTCACCGCAAACTTTTTACTTGACACTATTTTATCTTCTTTCCACTCTTTCTTTCCGTTTTACATTTTATTGCCCTCTTCCACCTCCTGGCCTGTCATCCTCTCTCCTCCRCTCACTGTGCTTTTGCTCTCTCTTCTTTCTACCAGCCTTCTTTTTTCTTCTTCTCATTTAACTTGTGCCTTCCTTTCCCACTCAGTTTGGCTAACCTTTTTTTTTTATTTAATCAGTCCTCTTTTCATCTCTTCCCTCTTTTTTATGTTTTTGAACATGTGGCTTCAAACTTCTCAGTGTCTTTTATGACCTGCTTCTGCTCGTCTCTTCTTCTTGCACCTTTCCTGTAWCGCACATAATTTCACCCCAAGTTCATCCCTGCACTCCTCGTTTGGTATTTTCCTCTGTGGCGCCGCTCTATCATAGCTCCCTTGTAGTCCTATCAGTAGGGTGCAGCTATTTAAACCCTGTATTTATTCTCTGCTTTGGAGCTACAGTACTTTCAAAGCACCAAAGAAAAGAAGGGATAGGAGTGTAGAGGTAACCCTGGTGAAAAAAAACTTTTCTATTGTTTTTTCTTTGTCTTTGATTTTAATTTTTTTTACACTTATAAGAAGAAAATCATTTTAAAGTGTTTTTATTTTCTTTAAGTGAATAGAACAACAGGTTCTATATGTTATCTCATTTAATCTTCTATTAGAGGTTTCAATCAATATAATCAAAGTTTTATTGATTTAGTCTTTGCATATCTCTCTTTATTTTAGAGTGTAACAGTGAAAAGAAAATGAGTGAAATGTGTTTTATTTTGCTTTTTCTTAGTACTATTATTAGTCATGGTTTAATCATTCTTCTTAGTTGGTTTAAAGATTAATAATTGTGTACTATTAATATTCATTATTAATCCATTTGTGCAGTGATGTGATTTTTA